CTGAGTACTTTAGAGAGGTCCCTAACAGCAGACTTTCCCATCATGATACAGTTTCATTTCCTGACTGCTGGTGCCAAGAGCGTTGACTGTGGAGCCAAGCAAACTGAAGCTGTGAACAATCTCAATCTCTTCGTCATTCATCCTGACGCTGCCAATTGGTCCAGTGGTGAGAATCCTTGTCTTCTTGACATTGAGCCTCAGTCCATACTGAAGGCTGCAGTTCTTGACCCTCCGCAGCAAGTGCATGAGGTCCTCCTCAGTTTCAGCAAGCAGGGTTGTGTCATCTGCATAACGCAGACTGTTAATAGATCTTCCACCAATCCTGATGCCACAATCCTCCTCATAGAGCCCAGCCTCTCGGAAAATCTGCTCTGCGTACATGTTGAAAAGGTATGGAGACAGGATGCATCCCTGGTGTACACCCATCCCAATTTTGAACCATGCAGTGTTACCCTGCTCTGTTCTGACTACTGCCTCTTGGTCCAAGTATAGGTTTCGTATTAGCACAATTAAATGTTCTGGGATTCCCATTCTTCTCAGAGTCAGCCGGTTTGTTATGATCCACACAGTCAAATGCCTTTGCATAATCAATGAAACACAGATAGACATTCTTCTGGTATTCTCTGCTTTCAGCTAGGATCCATCTAATATCAGCAACAATATCCCTAGTACCACGGCCCCTTCTAAACGCAGCCTGGACTTCTGGCAATTCTCTGCTGATGTGCTGGTCTAATCGTTTTTGAATAATCTTCAGTAAAATCTTGCTTGCATGTGAAATCAATGACACTGTTCTGTAGTTTCCACACTCAGTTGGGTCACCTTTCTTTGGAATGGGAACAAATACAGATCTCTTCCAGTCAGTTGGCCAAGTGGTTGTTCTCCATATTTCTTGGCACAACTTGGTGAGCACATCCAGGGCAACATCTGTTATCTGAAATACTTCAATATACCATTCAGTTTTTTCACCATTCCTTTGGAACTAATTGACTAATTAAAGTGTGTTATTCTTATCTGCCCTTGCATGTTATAAATTTTACAGAAGCAGTTCCCACAAGGGACATCTTGAGGTTGCTTTGTGTGTCCTGTGAACGTGTGTGGAATCTGCCAATGTCTGATACTTAGAGTTAAGTACCAACTTGCCCTTGGAACCAAGACATATGTAGGAGATCTGATGCCATATCCAGCCAATGCATCTCATTCACAGCCTCCACCTGTCTGTGGTCGAGACTTGAATGTTGTTTGGGACTTGCTTGGTGGGGAATATACTTCAGCAGTTTCCAGACTATATCAGACCAGAAAGGAAGTCCTGGTAAATCTAGTTCTAAAAATCAGGAAATGAAAACCCAGTGATGTATCTTTATACTCAAATCTGTGTTAAATCACGGGGTTAGTGTAAGATAGCCTTTCAATGCTCACAGGATGAAAAAAGGATGAGTTGTGATAACAGCAAACAACAACCCTAATATGGAGACTTTGTCAATAGAATGGCATTCTGTCATCTGTACTTTTATTAAAAAAAGAATTATTTCTCAAATAATCTGAATTCAGGTGAAGAAAAGAACATGATTGGTTGAGTACTTCCTCAAACTCTACATAAGGGTAGTTTTTTTGTCTTGACCAAAAAGGGAAGTTGAGATGATTGTCATTTCTCAGAACATCTCACTGAGCTCAGTGGAAAACAAAAATTACCCCCATATGACTGTGACAGCCTAAAAATACACTTTAACTTGGAAATAGAAATGTTCTCAATTTGAAGAAATGCAGAATTACTTAAAAAAAACACTTAAGTGATTGATTAAAATTATGTGGGAACTATTTCAGCAATGCTACAATTATCTTCAAATTGACTTCTAGTTATGGGACTGCTTCAGTTTCATTCACTTTCCATGCATGTAGGCACTTAATTTACTCCATAAAATGTTTGTCCTCCATTAACATCTCTAATAGAACACAGGGTTTTACAGGCATTATTGTTCTCAAAATCAGTCAATCTTGCTTAATACTCCTGTCATATCTGGGATGAGGGAGTGGACACAAGATTCTCTGAATAGAAGTTGTAGTTTCAGCAACTGGGGACAAATAGTTCCATTTATCCCACTAAAAAAAGGAAATTTTGTAGTTGCTTTGTGCCACAGGAAAATGAATCAGTATCCTAAAACTACTGGCAAATTTCTATTTGGGAGAATGCCATTCTGAAAAGAAGATTATGTGGAATGCACTGTCTGCATATAGTCCTTATTCTAAGAAGTTCTAGAAGGCAAGTTAAGGATATTGTTGTTGTTGTTGATAGCTACCAAGTCGAGCACGACTCATAGTGAACTCCATGGACAAAAAGGCCTGAAGCCCTTTTACAACCATCACCATTTATCAATAAAGATCACAGAGTTTCCAAAGGCATGGGTGGAAATCATAAGATGTAATATTTTTTTTAATGAAAAATTGTTTTCAAAAAGTTACAGTGTTCTTGACATGAAATAAATGGCTTTCAGTAATAGTAAACTGTCTTGAATCATCTCTTAGTGATGTGGTGAAAAGATTTCCATTGACGCTATGATGTCCGGTCAAATCTGGTAGACATCTGAGAACCAATGATGCTATGGCAGTTCTTTAAATGAGCAAAACTCAAGAGATTTTAAATTCAATTTTAAGAGAAAATTTTAATATATTTTTATCTTATTATACATTCTCCCTAAATTACAAAGTCATTAGCTGCAAATATATTCTGCTACAAAGCTTTCTGTAAGAAATATCTCTATAAGAAAATACATCTCTTTGGCATTTCCTGTAAATAAATTACTTCAAATAATAGTTTTTGAAGACATGAACACAGAGAAGCCATGTAGGGACCAAATTATAAAAGCAGTGGAAGTATAGGAAATGTTTGATTGAAATGCTGTATTTTGTGTCTCTAACCTTGTGATGTAGTGCTTAATATGTTAGACTTCTAACCAAATAATCAGCTGTTCAAGTCTATCAACTACTCACCCAAGAAAAGTATATAGTTTTTCAAACCTGGTGGAGTGTTTCCATGAGTTCTGGTATCCTTCCATTAAGATTTACAGCATAGGAAACCAATGGAGGATCATCATGGGTTAGAATTCCCTAAAGGGAAATATGTTTTGATTTGGGGTACATTTTTTTTAGATTTTGAAAATTTAAAGAAACTTTCTCATATAAACTTTTATTATTTTAGTAGATAAGGTTGTATGATTTCCTTAGCAGCTATATGAAGGAAGCATAAATTTTAATCATCCTTAAAGATGTGCATGGGAAGCTGACTTCTTAATAAAATCTTGTATTCAGGTCAAGTTCTACTAGGAGAACTTGAACATGAGATAGCAGATAGATCTTAAGTAAAAGAAATTTTGAGAATGACATCATCTATTCAAAATAAAAAGTCAAAAGAAACCACTATAAAATAATCTCAATGTCATTTACCCAGTATCTTAAACTGAATAAAAAATTACAAAATATGGATTCAAGGAATTTAGAAACTATACCATCTATAGATTAGTAATATGTAGATGTTATAAGTTGCCCTACCTATATTTTTTAAATTTAGTGTGTTCAGGACACAGAAAGTTTATCTTTTGCAAAGGAACAGTTGTTGCTCAGAAAAGTGGTGCAGACGAAGAAGATATCAATGGTATGTAATAGAACCTCACTATACTAACTGGGAGTCAATTTCATGAGACTTTGTTTTAGTAAAAATTATTTTGGAGCCATAAAATTGTAAAATAAATATTTTGAGGATGATAAAAGTAAGGAACTTCATATGGAAGTAATCTACAAAGTAAATATTATGATAGTAAATTGTGCAGAAAGCTTCAATCTAGGTTGGGTAGCTTCTGGCTTCAAAGCGTTAGTTTATGTTTTGGATTTAAGATCAATGTGTTGTCAAAACTAGATTACATGGCAATGTTTTCTCCACTTCTTGACTGTGCTACAATGCAAGGTAGATACAGCTCAAGTTCGTATTGCCAATTTTACCCCTATTATACTGCAGAGTAAGTAAGGAATAAATGTAGTTGCCAAACTAATCTAATTAAACCAAAATGTAGGTAATTCCAAAGCTAAAGAAGAATCATAATCATAGTCATAATTCATTCTCCATTAGATTTGATTCCTACGTATCTTGGAGTTAGGGAAATTTTTGTTAAAGATTAAAATTCTAGTCTGTAGATATAAATGTATTGCTGTTTACAATTGATGAGTTTAGTTTGGCAAATAAAACATTCAGACTAAGAGTTGCATGCAGTCAAGAACAAGGCAACAGATTCTTTGAATCTGAATGTATTGTTTTTGTCTCTTTATACCATTTCTTATTATTACAGGTGAACATAAAATTTCACAAATGCAAATAACAAGTTTAAAGCTAAAACAAAGAAATTGTGTTTTTTTAAATAGGCTTCAACTATAAATTCATGAATCTGAAATTATCTAGAGAACATAGGCTAGTTTTGTCCCACCTTTCCAAATACTTTAAGATGATAGAAATAGTTGAAACATGATTATTTGTTGCAAAATTATCTCTGCACCATGATTTTATTTTCTGTTCACCAAATATCCTCTTGTTTTAAAGTATACTATATGCCAGCGTACACTAGAAGAAGAATATTTTGTTAAAACCATAACTTTGAATTTAAATATGGCTTTCAGGTTATTTTCATAAGCAGCCAGTGATCTGAAGGAAATATATCCTCCAGTACAATCTAACTATTGGAAAGTCACATGGTCTTCATTAGTCATTTCCACTGTGTGCTTTTTATATTTCCAACAAAGGTATTTCCACAAATGTGTACACTATTTACATAAACAAGTTGCATAATGGAAACACATTAGTGGCATTGCATTTGTCACACATTGTCAACCACTCCATCTTTTTCTCTATGACCTATATTCTTATCAGACACCTCATTCTAGCCATTTTTATGAGTTCCAGGCCTTACTTTCCACCATGCTATAATGCATTAAATACACGAATTCACAGTCAGCTAGTTATGATTTCCCCCACTGGTTATCAGATTTTCTGACACACGTGAAGTCTGGCTTTGGAGGAGTAGGTGGCATCTTTCCATACTTTGCAGGAAAGGCCTTTAGCGCAGTCACATCGCTGGAAAATTTCCAGCCCATGAGAGCCCTTCTTTCGCTGTTTGGTACAGACTTCCCCTTGATGGAGGACTGGCTTGCAGATTTTGGTCCAGAAGTGACGGGCACAGCAAAACCCTTCAATGCAGTCTGTTGATCGTAGACAGGGGTCTCCTTCATGCCCTAGAGAGATTATACAAGAGATATGATCATGACTATCTAGGACGGATTCTGTTTTGTAATAAAAGGCAAACAAAATGGGGAAGATCTGGTGAGGATCTGAAAAGACAGGGTAATGGTGGACATAGTTCAGTGGTGGTTGATTTTATAAAACATAATGAGTGGAAAGGAAATGGGAAAGATACGGTGTGAAACACAATGTATATAAACTTTGTAAATAAACCAGTATTTTAAAAAAATCATAACAAATGGGAGTGATTGCAGGAAACACAATATGAATGAAGGGTACTGTGAAACACAATGTATACACACTTTGTAAGAAAACCAATATAAAATAAAACATTTAAAAAATGTTTATCTTCCAAAATTTTACCATTTATTATAGAAAAGTCTTAGATTTACATCAGCTGGCTGGCTCCTCCTCTGCTCTTTTAACTTTATTATTGCTTATTTTCCTTATTTGGGATGTGAATATCATGTTTAAAAAATAACATGATTGTTCATATTCTCCTTATATAGTCATGGTTTTAATCTTTTAGATATCTTCCTAATCACTCCTGATATTGTTGAGTAAAAAAGTAAAATTAAAACAATTGCTTTCAAATGAAATAATTTGTACCTTCCTCCTTCAAAGGAGGTCTTAATTTTTTTAAACACTTTCATTCAAGAGAAGGTGGAAATTATCAAGAATTTCTAATTCCACGTGGCAGTTAGAGTTCAACAAAGTCAACAACAGTTCTGACTTCTAAAACAGCTTTGATCCCACAGAAAGTTGTAGATCTGGACCAAAAACTGAGGAAGCAACTCACAAACTGAAATCAGTCAGAAGTCACTATCATATTCTTGCTGGACAGGGATTGTTAGAAACCAGCAGTTGGAATTGGTAGTCAAGACTAGAATCTGTAGCAGACTATTTTAACATAAGCTGAATCTATGAAGAGACTGTCAAATTTTCTTCTTGGGGAAGTCAAAGTGGAGGGACAGACTGGCTTATTCCTTGCTGCTGTGTTTTACTCTCCAACCAGGACCACATCCAGCCAGTAGACATCTGAGAGGGAGTCTGGGTGATAATATCCATTAAGATTGGATCAAATCTAGCATGACCTTGTAAACTTTCACTCAAATTAAAAAAAAAAAAAAACAACCATTGACTTTGTACAGAAGAGAAAAGGCAATGGATTGGAAGATCAATAGACACAGGGTCATCCCAGAGACCAATATTAAAACTGAAACAGAACTAAAAACATTTTGAGGCACAAACATGAGCATTTAAGAAAAAATGAAACGTGTTAAGGCAGCCAATAGCACACAGACATCAGGGTTGGAGGAATCTGTGGTCTGCATTAAATTTGATTTAGCAAATTTCTCTTGTAAATTGATATATAACAAACATTTTAGACCTCTTAGGTCATATAGTCTTTGGTGCAGACTTAACTCTTCTTATATTTTGCTAAATCAGCCATCAACAATACATTAATGAAAGGGCTTTTCTGCATACCACTAGGAGTCTTTGGATGGTACAATTGGTAAACAAGACAAGTTGCTAAATAAAATAATGGAGATGCTAATCCTATCCATATGTACCTCAGAAGAAAGGTATTAACAATCTATTTCTGGAAACCCTATGAAACACAATTCTACTCTGATACATATGAGTCATAGCTAGTCAGAACTGACTTGAGGAAACAGACATGACACGGGGAGGGGAGAATAAAACACAACACACACACACACACACAAAGGGGGGAAAAAAACCAAACAAAACAAAAATCACCAACCAAAACCAAAACCCAACCCACCCAAACATTTGTTACAACAATGAAAAGGGAATAGAAAGAAATCAAGTAACTGAATGAAGTAGGCTGTAAGGCCATAGTTGCCCAGCATTGTGATGCTGGGAAGGGTAGAGGGTTGGTGAAGGAGAGGAAGACCCTCAATCAGGTGGATTGACACTGTGACTGATGCAATGGGCTCTTGTGTGGCAGGAAGTGTGAAGATGAAACAGGGTAGGACCAGATTCAGTTCTTTTGTTCATAGGATCACTATTGAGTTGTACTCAATTTGATGGCATTTTACAACAACATCTATCAAATACATATTGAAGTTCTTGTGTGTCATCAAGTAGGAAACAAAGAGCTGGCCTTCCAGAGGGTTTTCAGAGGTTGTAAATAGCACAGGAGGATATTGTCTGTCTTCTTACCACAGAGCAGTGGTAGATTTGAACCACTTGCTTTTGGGTTGGAAGCACAATTCCTTACAAACTACACCACAGCTCACTACTTATATTTAAGTAAATAAGTATAATAAATGTTTTTGAACTTAGTGTGATTGAAGTAGGGAATGTAGAAGAAAGAGAATTTCAGGAAGTATAAACAAAAATAATTGAAATAATTTGCCAATACCTCTTTAACACTATTCATGTGATGATTAGAAGTCCAGGTCCGACTAGTATGTGGTAAGGGATGCAGTAAGACAGGAAAAAAAGAAGGAATATTTCTATGGCTGAAGAAATACAGTGTTTAAGATGTAAATCACTTTTCTAATTGTAGAATTTACCAGAGCTTTCAGTATGCTAATATTTATTGTAAATTTTAAAAGCAGAGGAATGACTTATTATATAATCATTTTACCACCAAACACCCTAGTTCATAGGACATCCTAAAATAGCAGTATTCCACAGGCTACAAGTGGAGAAAACTTCCTTGAAAGCACACACCATTCCTTAAGCTAAATATGTTCACGCTTTTAAAAATTTTAGTATAAAAAATCTCCCTCCAAGTTCCCCCCACCCCTCAAAAAATAAAAACCTTGCTATCAGTCTATTCTGACCTATAATGACACTTCATAGTGTTCTGAGGCTGTAAATGTTTTTCCCCCAATTTGTTTTTCTTTTATATTGCTTTGCATACAAAATTTTAAATTTGTATACATTCATATGCATTCATATTGTTTCATATGATCATTCCCATACATTGTGTCTTTTTTTTCTCCCCATGTCGACACCATTCTGCTTTTATGTCACTGAGGTTTTACTCACAGGCTGTTTTCACTCTATTAGCAAATTTATACAGACATTTCTTTTTTTTTCTTTGCCTTCTACTAGTTTATTTTACATTGTGTCTTATAAAACATATCATCTATCATCATTGATATATTCCTACTCTTATCCCATCTTTTTCAGATCAACACTGGATCTTTCCTAACCCCTTTTCCCCTTCCCTCTACCCACCACATTTGTGTATGCTATAAATCTTAATGAGAGTTGTTGTTGTGTGCCATTAAGTAGGAGCTAACTCAAAGCTAACCCTCAAGAGGGTTTTCAGAGGCAGCAAATTGTACAAAAGAACAGTGCTCATCTTTCTCCCACAAAGGAGCTAGTGGATTTGAGCTCCATGCCTTTAGGATTGCAGCACAAATTTTATCCACTAGACCATCAGTGTTCCCTAATGGGAGCAGACTACCTATCTTTTTCCTTTGGAGAAACTAGTGGTTTCTAAATGACCATCCAATGCATTAACAACCCAATACGTAATCATTATGTCACACGGGATCCTTATTAGTGAAGTTTCCCAAGTATTTTGATGGCAGGAAAGATATTGCATGCCTAATTACAATTTCACTGTAAATCAGTTATTTGGTAAATTACATGACCTATTTGTTTAGTAAATTTTCTGAATCTGCAGAAATAAAAAGTAGAACAATGTAAAACCAAAAAAGCTAAACTTGAAAAGCTAACTGATCCATCACCACAGCATCCCTTTCTGATTTATTTTTCACAATGCTTTATCACTTGTGAGGTGACAGAATGCTTGAATAGAAAAATTCTTACAAATTCAAAGTAAGAAAATCTCACTGTCCATCAGAGTAGTGAAATTCTCTTGAGATAAAGATTTTCAAAAATTTAAGATCTCTTTTTGTTTGGAGAAAGTAAGGAAGTCTTGAAGGACTTACTGAACAAGATTAAAGACTATATCCTCCAATAAGGATTATTGTTCAATGTCAAGAAAACCTAAATCCTTACAATTAGACTCATAAACAAAACCATAATAGATTAAGAAAAGATTGAGGTTGTACAATATTTCATCTTACTTTGATCCAAAGTTAGTCCCATGAGGGCAACAGTCAAGAAATCAAAACATGCATTGCATTGGGAAAAAAATCTGTCATCAAGGACCTCATTAAAGTATCAAAGAGTAATTATTTCAGTTTAAGAATCAGGTGAACCTAACCCAAATAATGATATTTTCAATTGCTTCTTATGCATGAGAAAGTTGAACAATGAATGAGGTAGACCAAGGAAGAATCCATGCCTTTGAATTGTGGCACTGGTTAAAAGGAATAAACATATTCCTCCAAATCTAGCTTGGAAGAAGTGTAGTTTGGGTGCTTGTTAGAAGGAAAGATGGTGAAACTTCATCTCAGATAATCTGAGTATGTTTTCAGGAATAGCCAATCCTTGGTAAAATGCAATAATTGGACAAGGGGAGGGTTCAAAGAAAGAGAGGAAAACCCCAACAATAACTAGAAGGATGGGCTTGAACATGGCAGAGATCATGAGAATGGTGCAGGAGAAGCAAGGTTTTGATCTTTTGTTTACAAAAGATAGAGTTGCTTTAAGTCATGGTGGACTTAATGGTGCCTAGAATGGGCTATTCCTTAGAGAGGGACATGATTCCTGGAAAGGCAGAGAGTTGGCAAAGGAAAGAAAGACCCTTGACCAGGTGGATTGACACAGTGACTGCCACAATGGGCACTAATATATCAGGAATGTGAGGATGACACAGGATAGGACAGGGTTTAGATAGGTTGTTTAAAGGGTTGCTATGGGGTCATATTCAACTCAATGACACCTAACAACAACAACAACAATAACAACATGGTATGGTTAGTATACTTAAAAGTATGAATTAATAAATCCAATAAAACTCTTGCTAATGTACCTTCTTTGTCATTTGCCCCCTAAAATCAGTGGAAGTAATTACTTTTGTTTTATTCTTCTTTAAACAATAAAGAAATAAATAAAACTTAAAAATACAGACACTCCTACCTTTTATGTGTGAAACCTTAGAATGTGGTCTTCCTAGATTCTGCCATCCCAAATCGTGGTTTGAATAGTGACCATGATTTCGATCTCTGTGCCGAGTGCCATCCAGAGCTGGGATGTGTGGAGTAAGGATACTCTCAGTGACTGGGATGCAGATACCTGGAGGTGGTCAAAGGTGCAATTAAATTACTTACATTCTGAGGAGCGTGATACTTATCAAAGTATTCTCTCATGAAGTACAAAGCTATTAATTCATGCATTCACTTAAGTGTTTACTGAGATAGCTTTGCTTATATAGATACCATTATTTGGCTTTGGAGCCAAGATTAAGTGAATTCGAGCAAAACAGGAATCAAAGCAGAGATACCTTCATTGAGGTGTGATGAAAACATCTAAAGTTCTTGTAATATTAAAGTAGTAAATAACAAAGTTGTAAAAAGTAAAACAACTCTATGGAACAAAGTTCTACTCTAATAACACGGGTTATCATGATTCAGAGGAGAGTTGATGATGATTACTTTGGTTCTGTTGTGTTTGTTTTTAAACTATTTTTTTAAATTATATTTTACATTAGTTTGCTTACAAACTTTGTACACATAGCGTTTCACACTTATCTTCATCCACATTGTGTTTCATACAATCATTCCCATACATTATGTTTTATAAAATTAATCACGATTGGACCTTGTTCATCATTACCCTATAATTTCAGGTGCCTTCTGGATCCCTCCCCTTTCCTTCACCACCTACCTCCATCCACCAAATTGGGCAATGCTATGATTTTGCCCTTACCCATCCTCATCCCTCTGCTCTGACTCTTTTTCCACTCAGTTCTCCATAGATGTTATACTAGACATGCTTCTATTTTTACAAGTATAGTCTTATGCAGTATTTGTCCTTATAAGGCTGAGTTAAATGAATTATTTTAAAATGATCTGGCCAGAGATTTTTTTCCCCTTAGGGATTCAGTTGTTCTTTTTAATTAATAATGCCCATCTTAGTGTATTCTAGAGACATCTCTAATGATGTGAGGTCTCCCTTCATTCACTGCCTGCCCGAGATATTCATAATAGGGCGAGGACATCAGTTTATTGACTAAGGTGCACTTGACTCAAACAATGGCCTTTTCGATTGTTTTGCTAAATATTAGAAAGTTGGACAGCAAATAAGGAATACCAAAGAAGAACTGGTGTTTTTTTAACTGTGGCATTGGCAAAGAGAATTCAATATACTCAGAGGAGGAAACAGCACTGGCAAAATGTGAGCTTAATTGTTTTGTTTTGTGTAATTGATCATCTTCTGACGTAATGTATTTTTCATCATTTGTCTGTGACTCTTCGTTTCTCTTCATTAATACTGAATTGTCAGCCTGTAAATACATGGAGATTTATTGAAGTCATACTTATTGAAAGGTTGATTGATAAAGTCCTGTGTCTCTTTTTGAAGAACCAGTCACTTCATTACCATATGACCATTAAAAGAATAAAAATATAAAACTAAAAATAGCACTCACAATTACATTCCTTCTTTGGCTATTTTGACGATTTGTTTATGTGTTTAGTGGGAGAGGAAACACACCGTCACTTGTTTGTAACACTTAATATGATAACATCGTGCTATATTTGTGTGTCAAATTGATTCAGTTTAATATCAATCCCACAGGTCAGAGCAAGATGGTCCTATAGGACTTCTATGTTGTAATATTTGTGGGGTAGCTCATGCGTCCTAGAGGTAAGAAGTTGCACTATCAACCCAATGGCAGGCTGTTCAAATATACCAACTCTTCTGCAAAAGGAAAAACTATTAATCTCCTCCTACACAATATACAGCCACTGAAAACCCACTATAGGGAATCTATTAGCCAGTTCTAACTTGATGGCACATAGCAACAATAATCTTTATAAAAACAGATTGATGGCTTTTCCCTCCTCTGGAATTAGTGTTGGATTATAATTAATGACCTTTCTTTTTTTTTCACGTTTTTTT